CCCCCAGTAACTCAAGATACAACAGTTGTACCCACACTACATACAATCACACATACCATGAGGCTTTAGCCACATGAAAAAGGCTACGCGCATTCCAAATCCTTGTAAAAAGATCCATTTCTTCAATACATTTTTAGTCCCTAATGGAGAACTGACAGAAATACCACTTCACTTTGAAAGAGAGAAACCAGTATTTATATTAAAGATAAAGGTTTGATTGCTTTTGATGAATTTAGCCTTTTTCTGCTGCAAGACTGGTTTCCATGGAAATGCAAGCAGACTCAAAACCTGCAACCAGAAGTGAGTCAGTTTTGCCTGTTTATGTCTCCTCAGTTCCCATGGAAACAGACATTTAAAAAAAAAAAAAAAAAGATAAGGGTTCTGAAATATCTTCAGAAAAATCTCTTCCCAGAGCTTTATTTCTTTGGCTACCTTTCCAGAATTAGAGTTGAAAATAACATGGAGCAACAAATGACAGAGTAGTGACTTGATTTCTTTATGTAGACATCAACAGAATATACCTGGAGATGTTTCAAAAACCACATTCAAACGGACAGGCTCAAAATCTACAGCTACAAATTGTATTAACTTGGGTTTTGGCAAAAGTACCTGGAGTATATATTCCCTTAAATTAATTCAATGCTAACGTAGATAGAAATACACTACAGAACAGGAAAATAGCATCACACTGTCCTTGTCCTAAGTATATTTCAATACTTTAAGAAGCAAGGAAAAAAAACAAAAGCTACCTTGGGGGAATGAGTTCAATATTTCCATAGCCAGGACATTTTTTAATGGAATCATTCCCTCCTTAGAACGCATTCATTTTTAAGTTGCAAAATCAGCTATACACATACCAGGTTAAGTAACAAACATTAGTATTAAATCTTAACTTTACTATATTCTATCATGGGTAAAAGTGCATTCCTCCAAGCTGATAAAGCAAATCTAAGAGAAGCTGTCAGCCAAACCCCATCTCACATTGTACTTTTCAAAGATAACAGGGCACCTTCCCATGTGCTGTCCTCTTCACACTCATACAGATAACATCTTCCTTCCTCCTCAGAGTCAAATGCATCAGGGAAGGTGGAAGGGACAGGATAGGGAGTTGTTAGGAAAAAGGCGCAGTGCGAGTCTCAGACCCTCAAAACCTGCTCCTAACACAATCATCACTATGTTAAGAGTTCCCTGACAACTCAGTGTCCAGAAACATAATGAACACAGTTAAAATTAATCTGCTGCTGCAAGGTCCTTCTAGAATGTACAGGACAGCTAATCCTGATACCAAACTTCTTATTTCCTTGTTTGTCTCCACATCACATTACCAATTCTATGTGCTTCGCACACCTCCATGCAACTCAACACTCAGAGGGCTGCGGCACCTGTCATTATTGCCTGTTTGGGAAGAATGTGCAAGGAAGGTCAGTGTACATCTCTTACCGCTACTGTCACAGACTGAAGCTGCATTACAGAAATCAGGAAAGAAAAAAGAAAAAGGAAAGCTTACCTCTGTCCTAAACACTGCTCATATACTCTAACAATCACCAGAACTCAAAGGCCCTCCTGCATTCACACAGTGTTACACATCACTTTTTTGGACTTTGCTACTGCTCTGAGAACTAGTAACATATTGCCACCGACATGAAACAGGGCTCAGGGAAGAGCAGCCAGTCAGGATACTCACTAAAAGGATGAGAGAGGGGTAGCAGTCACTGGAGGTTTGTCTTGAATGGAAGAAGCAGTTGAACTTAATTCAACCTTAATTAGTTCACATTAGCTGAATTCAATCTACTCTTGTCACAGGAAAGATAAGCCTTACAGAATTAACTCTTTCTTATTCTTCTTTGTGTTTTAGCAAGGTGTAGAGTCACACAGTAAGGAGAACAATCTTAAAAAGGCGGACGGATTTAAAAAATAGAGATGGTAAGAGAAACATCAACGTGTACCTTTCAATCTATTCAGAAGTTTAGCTTCCTTTCTTGGAGGTGTCAGAAGTACAAATAAACAAATTGTTTTAACTATTAATTTACTTTAGCAACTAAATATACAAACATCGAAGTCTCAGCATGACTAGATTCCTTACAGAGTTACCATTCAAATTCCCCCCCAACAACAACATACACACACATTTTCTGAAACGTGAAGTGACAAACACACAAACAGCAAGTAAGATCAAGTATTTTTCACCATACTCTATGGCAAATTGCTTTATATCCAATATTAAGTACAGGTGTCAAGTTTACTAAAACCAATCTCTGAAGAGATTGCAAGGGTCTCAGATGTCAGGATCAGCCTAGTTTCACACATCCTCTAGCATGACGAACAGAACAGAGAAAAGATGAATGTGACTGCTGCAGCTAGGGAGTCACTATTACACAGAATAAAGACACTGGTCACAAGAAAACAGAAAATACTTTAATAAGAAGATAACAAACATAAAATTAGACTATTAAGCACCTCAAAATTAACACATCTAACTTAGTTTTGCCTTTGGGGACATCAGCATTTCCATATCAATTTAAGGAAATTTACAAGGTCACACACCGAATCACAATTCAGGAAATAAAATCACAAACAGCTATCAAGCACCACCTGACTTGTGCACTGAACTAAGCAAGGCTCCCCTTCAGAAAACAAAGTATAATTGCACCATTATACATTGTATTGTATCACATATGCTCAAGGAAGCCTAATCATGCTTAAACGACCAACTTCAATTCTGTCATTTGTTAACTTCCAAACACTTATTTATAGAAGCTTAACATTAACTCTTCATACCAAGTTTCCCACTATGGGCTTTTAAATTTGTATTTTAAATCTGCATAAGTTCCTTATGTGTAAAATTACACAACAAATAAAACATTTTTTGATACATACAAAACTCTGAAGATCAACTGAAAACTGGTACCACCTTAACTGTTTTCAAAAGTAATCACACAAAATTTTGCCCTCTTACACTAGACTGATGTTTACACTAATATTTCAAAGAACTATCTGATATTTAAGATACAATCCACCAAAGTGTCTAGAAGAAAAAGGACAATAGTACAACCTGTATCAATTGTGACAGCTGATAAAGACCAATAAGCTAAATCTCCAAACTAGCATCATTACTTTTACGTGTGAAGAAGCTTAATGCAAGCAACGTAACTTCCAAGAATAAACGAAGAACACATTTTGCACACAAGATTAGAAAAAAAGGAGACACATACCTAACAAAACGTCTGTGACATCACCTCACGGTGCTCCTGTCAACATCCAGGGTACTCAAAAGCAGCCAGTATGCTCAACAGAAATTACTCTAACTAGGCTGCAACTTAAAAGCCACCTTTCCAGGTAAAAGTGTTCCATTTATAGAAAACTGCAATGTTTGCATATAGATTTGCAACACTGCATCACAAGGCACAGTTACCACAAAACTTCCCAGTGACTGACATGGCGTAAGATAACAAATGGCACACAAGACTAAAGGCACAAAACCCAAAGAGACAAAACCTGAAGAAATTTAGAACCCAGCCCAGCACCCTGGTATACGGCACATAAACACAAAGCTGCTCCTCCACATTTAACAAAGCCATATACAAGTTGTGGCCTGAAGGATTTTTTTTGCAGGCCCTGGAAAGTCCCAACACAATTTCTGGTGGTATGAAGGAAGAAAACGATGGCGGGTGGCTAATCAGATGGCAGATCATCATGTGGTAGCAGATATGGCAAAACTGTTCTTTTAACGACATTCTGTACTTATTCTCATGCAGGAAGCATTTTCTATACCTCAACGACAAAAGTGCTAGTTTTCGGAAGGTCATAATCAGGATTTTGGACTCCCTCGCTGAAGCACAAACATGAAGCAAGAATCCCTGCTCAGAAAGACACTATGCATCTCATTTTACAAATTCAGTTTTACAATACATGTTCTAGTATAAGAACTCTACAAGTTCTAGCAGTCCTGTCAAAATCACCGCACCAGTGCAAATGTCAAATCCAAGCCACCATCTGTCATCATGCAAAACTTCTTAGAGCACATAGCAACAGATACAGAGCATGCAGAGGTAGAAAAATATTAAATTTAATAAGCCTTGCAGTAGGAACCTCCAGCGGCATATATAGAAACGCACATTCTGCAAAGACTGAATTTGACTGATGGCTTTTTGTTGGACAGAAAAACAATCCTTCTGGATCAGTGTTTCTCAGCTGCTGATCCAGGGAGTAACGGTTGGCTGTGAGATATCTGAAACAGCCCATGGAACAGCTGCAAAGAAGGCTGGCTTGTGTTTCGGGCAGGAGGGTAGAGAAGAGAATTGTTTTCTTGGTTTTGTATTTTCAATAGACAATTTTCACGTGGAAACAAGCAAGCAATCCATACAAGCAAAAATAAGAGCAGTACCTGAGTAATCAAACCTCAGCCTAATATCTCATCACAACTAAAACCTCCTATGGCACTACTGCACAGTACAATCCTCAGATTGTATTCAATGAGGTCAGATGTCTCTTTGGACTTAAAAAGGTTGAGAGACATCCTTTTAGATGAGAGACAGCTGGTAGACAATAACATGGAAGATTTCTGAAGGACAAAGTAAAACGATGAGATAACCAGCATATATAATTATAGAAGAAAATCAAGATCTATCAGAGGAAAAAAACATGTCTTAAATATTTTTAAATGTACAGAAAGATTCAGGGAACAAAAGCCTGAGCACACAAACTCTTTACTTTGACAATTAGGAATCATAAACTAACACTGAATATTCTAAGAACTGAAGTCTCTAATACTAGATTTATAAAGCGTGAACCTGCTTTTGCAACCAGTAATAAAAGTAAAACCATAAGAGCATTAGGTAATCACAAACTCAACCCCTTAAGCACACTAAAAGCTCCAGCATTTGATTTGGCTTAATCACATCCCTCTAATACTGCTAAATCAGAACCACATCAGTACTATTGCAACTATTTGACAGACATTTTAGGGAGCCCAGAAACAGCTATGCAGTGTTCATACTTACTTGAATCTTCCCATCTGAGAAGGTGCAACTTCCAAGCAGAATAGTACAGAAATCCCAGTACCAGAAAGAGGCAGAGGGCTAGCAGCAGGTTACGCATAAACACCAACAGTCCCATCTTCACATTAAATCTGCTCTTCTACATGACCTGAGGAGAAAAACAGTTTGAGATTGGAACCACCTTCTCCGACAGTTGTTCTTCCAAAACGTGCAATCCTATATCCACAATAACGCATAGATCCAAACCGGTGCTCTCCACAAGGTAAAATACACCAATTACTCAGACCGCATCAGTGAAATCAGAACTACCACCCTAAGCAGCTGCCTTTTTTTTTTTTTTTTTCCTTTTTTTCTTTTGTCACAAGGATAAATGTCATTCCGGAGAGGCAGGAGGGCACTACAACGCTATGACAGGACGGCAGCCCAACTCCTTGTTTGAACTTCAGATAATCAGTCCCAGAAC